AGTTGTAAGAATAATATAGGATTTGATTCTGTGAGAACTTATAGAGAAATAAGAAAAGTAGAAGATATTATAACTAAACATACTAATATACAAGAAGAAATCTCAGAAGGATTATTTCAAGGATATATAACCAAGAAAGGACAACCTATAATTTTTGAAGAACTATTAAAATATAAAGAATACTTAAAGGTGTTCAAAAGATTGAAAAATATAGATATAGGACCTGATTGACAATTCCTTAAAGATATAAGATAGATCTTGTAAATAATTTCATTAAGGGCAATATAGTACTTTTAATAAGAAAGGCTATTGTGAAAAATAGGAAGAATCTACCGACTATTTCCAAAGTTGTCCCATTTATTTAATGGTATTTGAAGGTAATAGATTATTTCTAAACAATATAAAGTTTTTCTTCTTTTCTTGTCCCCTTTAATAACTAAAAAGTTGATCTCACACTCCTTTTTTTTTTTTTTTTTAATTGAACTATTGTTATGACAACCCATAAGATTTTGGGAAATATGAAAAATTCCTTTAATAATATTGATAATTTAATATGACACTCCGTGTTAAATATGATATTAGAGTTTGAGCAGCTCAATCATAAACACTCAAATAAGCGATAATATGAATGATACAGTTAAATGAATAGAAGTAACAATGACCTTGAATCGCTCGTGAACTTGCAAGATCATCTCTTTTGGGCTTTGCCTATAGGTAGCCCAACCTTGTGAAATATGAGGCCACGAACCAAGCAAGACACGGAATTCGGTACGCAAGTTGAGCTCGCTCGTGTACTGAATTTTGCAATAGACTGGAAAATTGTATTAAAAACATACTAAATCTAGAAAAATAAACTACTTGTGACTTGCTCATATCATTAAGGGCTAGTCCCTTAGAGTTGAATCAAGCTTGATCATTAGTGAACGAGTGAAGTCAAGTTAAGTAATGGTTCCAAGACCAGATCGAGTTTGACTTGCTCAATTGCCACGCCCATAAACGAATCATGACCTTTTTTGTATACTACCAAAGTCAATAACACTCACGATTTATTCCCTCATTTTATGTATTTCATACAAGACAAATAATTATGTAATTATTCACAAAAAGACTTCAAAAGTAATTTAACTCTGACCTGGGCTCACACTGCGACCACGCCAGGTTCAGCAGTAGCCGCAATTTAAGAGCTGAACGAATCCCCTGTGTCGGCTGCACCACACCAACTTCCTTTTTATCTCCACGTGTCGAATTTTCCTTGGAAACAATTTTCACAGTTTTTATAAAAGGAAGGAAAGGAAATGTAAATATTGATTGAACACGACATTGACACGACTGTTGAATTACCATTTACAGCGATTTTAATATATATATATATATATATATATATATATAAGAGCCTTACCATTTTTTTCAAAATGTATTTTTCTCATCTTTTTTTAACCACACATTCTCTATTAAAATAATATTACACGTAAATCAAAAACTTTTCCTTATTTTTCAACCACACATTTTCCATCAATTTAATATTCTAAAATATATTTTTACATAAAGATATCTTCCAAACAAACTCTTATCCACGAAGGAAATGCGAAAAGTTTACCTTCAGATTGTGATTCCGACACAGATTGTGATTTTTGATGCTATATGAGTGATGACTGATGACCCAAATACAAAAGAGGATCTGGGAAGTGAGAAAACTGCCAAACTCCCAATTGGGAATTTGTTCAATTTCTTTCACTTATTTTGTTCTGATTGTGTTTAACAATGGGGCGTAGGAAGTTGGTGATAAAGCGAATCGAGGATAAGAGCGCTAGACAAGTAACGTTTACGAAGAGAAGAAATGGATTGATAAAGAAGGCGAAAGAGCTTGCTGTTCTCTGCGATGTTGATGTTAATGTTATTATCTTCTCCAGCCGAGGAAAGCTCTACCATTACTGTAGCAGTAACAGGTTAGTTGTTCTATTGGGATTTCGAGAATTGAATTTATTTATTTATTTTGAAATGGATAACTGGATCGTATTGTGAGCTTGATGTATTAATTTGTGCAAGATGAAGTTTAGTTTTTTATACTATTTTTGTTAATACAAATGATTCTGCACTAATTTCAAAGGAAATTAGTGTCTAAAAAGGAATTTATTAACTATTATATTAAAAATATACTATTGTTTATACGAATTAATTGTTTGTTAACGAAGACCTATTAGAGATTTTTTGCTGCTTGCCTTTATTGCGTGGTTCAGTAGTTTGCTGTCCCCTCATATTTTCTGCCGCGTGCCTATTTGCACTGCCAAATTGTTTTGTGTTTCCGTGATTTCACCAGTAGATCAATCTTATACGTGGATATGCATGAACGAAGCCAGAAACTAGCAGAGCTTTCTCTTCTTTCCTCCCTTCTTCAGTTCTTCCAATGCGGTAGCTGCATGTTATTGACTTGGTCCAGAAAATATTGATACATAAAATATATAGTTTTTTGGGCAACAGTTTTGTCAGCTTCTCTAAGAATCCATCTCGACCTTTTATTAGACCGATAGGGTGGAAGATAACTAAATCTTCTGACGTACAAATATATAATAAATTATAAGTTGACGCTTCTTCGTGTAAGATTTGTTAGCACCTTTAAGGGAGTGAAAGTTGGTTATGAGACTAAAATACTTCAAGAGTTGACATTTCCGGTACAAATTCCACGTTGAAGAAAAAAATGATTGAAGAAGCTGGGAACACTAGATTGTGTAGAGAGCATGAGAGATTCGCAGATCTTCCAGACATAGAGCAAACAGGGCTTTGAACCCCAAATACATTACTTACAATGAAAGTAAGCATGTTAGTAACCGAACTTTCTTATAAAGGATCATATATTTGGGGTAAGTATTCGTTTGTAGTATTGTCATTACACAACCTAGTCCTTCTTAATTAGTAATCGGGATTCTAGGTTAAAAAAAAAAAAAAAAAAAAAAGGAGAAGAGTTATTCGCAACTTTTTTTTTTTTCTTGAAGAAAAAAATGATTGAAGAAGCTGGGAACACTAGATTGTGTAGAGAGCATGAGAGATTCGCAGATCTTCCAGACATAGAGCAAACAGGGCTTTGAACCCCAAATACATTACTTACAATGAAAGTAAGCATGTTAGTAACCGAACTTTCTTATAAAGGATCATATATTTGGGGTAAGTATTCGTTTGTAGTATTGTCATTACACAACATATTCTTTCTTAATTAGTAATCGGGATTTTAGGTTAAAAAAAAAAAAAAAAAAACAGGAGAAGAGTTATCCGCAACTTTTTATTATTTCTACAATTAGATCCGATCCCCGTTCACCTTTTTTTCTTTTTCTTATCAATGAATAAATCTCTATACTTATCCTATAATTGTACAGGCTCCCATAGCAATAACATATTTTGGTTCAGGCATTTGCTCATGTAATCTCACTAAAAATGGTGCCCATAGCTTTCGTCTCTCAGTGTCGGCCCAACAAAGAGCTTTCGTCTCTTTGGTGTTCTTTCCGATCTCTACACATTATGTATGAGAACCACGGATCATGTTAGGCTCGGTCAGTCTCTTAGAGAGACTAAGACATTCTTATGAACAAGAGTTTTCTTAAATCTGCACGAAACATGTCAACATTTAACTCAGCCCTGGTTTGATTCCCAATATTTTAAAACTCGTTTTCAATCACACATTCTCACAATGAAATGTTTTACACGTAAATTCAAAATTTTTCTTATTTTTTAATCACACATTATCCAAATATTCACTATTACAAAACTCATTTTAACAAAATAATGGGTATCAAATAGGCTTATTCTTCTCTAATTTACCAAAATAGGTGTCACCATGTCAACTACTTTTCTTAGCGTGTATCCTTAGAATCTTTGTTTTTGCTAATTCATCTTAACATAATTTGTAACATTGTAATACTCAATGCTACATGATAAATGTTTTGTTGAAGTGACATTATGCGCTCGTTTGGCCCCCATTTTATTCTCATTTTTTCCTCATTTTTCCCACTTTTTGTCAACAATAGTGGGCCTCCAATCAAAAAATTAGACGGCTCCCTGACAAAAATTTGAGGTAGCAGCTTTTTAGACATTTTGTTGAATTTAAAATTTTTGTCTTTCCACTTCTGCCCTCCATTTGAAATTCTATTCCTTAATTGTAGCACTTGTTGTCAATTGGAATTTTATTTTTTAATTGAGGGCAAAACGGTCAGAGAAATTCAACGGCATGGTACCGTGTTCTTTCATTTTTGACAGTTTCTTCAATGCCTTCGCCATCATCTGCCACAAAAACTGTAGAAAAATGAGATAAGGTAGAAAAAATTGGCAAAAATGAGCATCAAACAGGCACTATAACTGTATAGATATCTTATCACATTAAAGTCTATTAAATCGACCTATTCTAATTCTATGCACAATGTTTTCTTCAATTCCTCTTTCCGTGTTAAGAGTTGAACATAATACTTTTCTATTGTGATGCTTTCTCTTGTTCATCTATAAATGCGGTGACCATTTTGTGTCTAATATTTCTTATCATTTATTAATAACTTTTCTCATTTTTTAATAATAAGCCCTAGTTTGGCCCCAATTTTTTAGAACTCATTTTTCCAGAAATCATTTTTAATCATTCATCTTATGTGACCAACTTCTATCAGCTTTTAAACCACACATTTATTAAATTTATTAAAATTTCCTAAAAATTTGATTTTTATAGATGCTAAATGTTGTATAGCAAAGATAAGGTAATTTAGGAACACGAATGAATTACTCAAATAGTTATGGAACTTTGTAAAAGGTTTCCACAGGGTCACAAAACTTTAAAAATCATTCAATTCATCACTGAACTTTGCAAAAGTTTCCACGAGATCACTGAATTTTAAAAATCATCTAATTTGTCACTGAACTTTGCAAAAGGTTTCTCAAGGGGTCACTTAAGTGACCCTTAGTGACCCGTGAGAAACTTTTTTGCAAAATTCAGTGACTCCATGGATACCTTTTGCAAAAATCAGTGATGAATATTGTGATTTTTAAAGTTTAATGACCCCGTGGAAACCTTTTACAAAGTTCAGTGATGAATTGAGTGATTTTTAAAGCTCAGTGACTCCGTGAAATTTTTTTTACCCTTAGTGACCCCTGAGAAACTTTTTTACAAAATTCAATGACTCCATGGACACTTTTTGCAAAAATCAGTGATGAATCTTGTGATTTTTAAAGTTCAATGACCCCATGGAAACCTTTTACAAAGTTCAGTAATGAATTGAGTGATTTTCAAAGTTCAGTGACCCCGTGAAAACTTTTTACAAAGTTCAATGACCATTTGGGTAATTCACTCTTAGGAATACATATACTTTTTCAATTTTTTACTCACCATGTGTGACGACTAGGTTTGAGTATCACTAAACTAAACTAATTGAACGAATTTTCAACATAATCATATAAATTATTTAAGTACTTATTAAAATTCAAAAATGTTATGAATTTAGTAAATTAACTTGGAACAAGAAATAACTTAAAACATTTAAAATCAAACGAAATGATAGTTTGACAATTTTATAATTCTATTATTAAAACTATTGCCATCATAAGCTATCTTCGTGCCAATTGCCTCGAATCGTCAATTATCTAAAAGTAGAAACATAATGGGGTGAGAATAAATTCTCAATAAGTGTGTGTGGATAATGAATTCATATATGTATTTCTACTAAAAATTCGTAACTTACATAGGGAGACACGAAAACTAGACCAAACTTATATGGTGCTAAATTCTCATGCGTAGCGTTACTAAACTCCGGCCCCTTAATAAAATATACGTAACATGGACCAAACATAACATAGTCATAGAAATATTACATACATAAACATTAGGCACCATAAACATAAAACACAACTTACCCTTTTTTTTGTTAAGACAATTCAAAATGATAAAATGAGTTATTGTTGAAAAGATATCCTTGAGCCACTTGTGGGGTTAATTATTCCCGTATGATTGTATAAGTATACGACTATATTTAATATTAAAGTGACAAGAGAAAGAGATGAAGTGGAAAGACAAAGTTATAGACGTAAAGAGGGAGAGTGTGTAAATAGTTGTTGCAAGGTAACTTAGTGTTGGATTTGTCTCCTATTTATAGTGAAAATTCTTGACCATGTGTGGAAAAGTTAAGGGAAATGGCTAGATAATAGGCTTGGTCAATGCTTAAATGGTGTGTTGTCATGAAAATGATAAAATCAATAGCTTAAATGGTGTGGTCAAATCAATTTATTTAGCTCAAAACTAGGTCCATGTGATCAAATCAATTTCCTTTATTTTCGTGGTCAAATCAATTACATTGGCTTGAAATGTGGTGTGAATAATGCATGTGGTCAATAAATCATCATTAATCAAGACTAATTAGCATATTTACACATCTTTTATGCGTGATTTCATCTAATTTTCAAAATACCCTCAACTATTGGTTAATAATTAATAAGGTCATTTAACTTTAATAATAGCGCACTTAAGTCCTAAATTTAAATTTAATTCGCAGTAAAAAATTTTGGGACATTACACTACGGGATTCACTCACTTTCTCTTGTTCATTCTTTATTAGATGATGTTTGTCTATTCAATCAGTTAATGATGTCTAATATCTTGTCATTTATTGATGACTTTTCTCATTTATTCTTGTGATTAATGTTGTAAAACAAAAAAATGGCAATTTGAGAGTACTTAAATTGCTTAAATTTTTCAAGAAATATGGCAATGTGTAATTTATCAAGAAATATGAAAAAATCATTTTGATTTCATGGTATCAGAACTAGGTTCTTTCAAACCTAGCAATCAATGGTTGAAAATTCCGTCAATAGCAAAGGATCAATAACCTCTTAATTTCCTAACAGCAAAAAAAAGCCTACCTCCATTCTCGATTATTATTCCTTCCACAGTAGAGATTAAATGAAAGAAATTATCGATGGAGAACCCAGTCAATAAAATAAGTGATTGACGACAATGGGAAGCTCGGTTACCTTAGCGATGAAACAAAGAAACTGACTAATGGTGCTCTTCTATAAAAATGGAAATCAGAAAATTCAATGATAATTGATGTAGTACATCCCAACTACAGTTAAAAGTTTCCTACTACAATTATGTTTTATCTTTTATAAGAGTTTATCTTTTCAATTATATTTATCTATTTAGTTTTCTTGTATAATGGTGACAGGACTTTTATATTTTATTTGATTATGATTATAATTTCCATTAGTTTCAATTTTCCTAATACTTTTAGAACTAGGAAATAATTTTGCCTACAAAGAAGGAGCATTGTACACTTATCAGAACAATCAATCATTATTCCATCAATAACAAAGCAAGTTATTCAAATATTTTTCGTAGTTTATGACATGATTCTTATTACAAGAGTTTTATTATCGCTTCCACCAAAATTGGTATTAGAGCAAGGAAACTGCCTTAATTTGATGGCTAACGAAGGTCCTCTTAGCAGTTGAACCGTTGACGACGAATGGTGGCTCGACAAACTTGAACAACGAATCGAGGGGATCAAGCAGTTGAACCGTTGACGACGAACGGTGGCTTGACAAACTTGAACAACGAATCGAGGGGATTGACGAAACAGATGCTTACTGCATTGAGCTTTGAAAGGAATAGTGTGCCCATGGGGAAGCAAGCTGAAAAGAATTTGCAGATTTTAAATGATATGAATGTTAGCTGCTTCAACAATCATAAATCACAGCAACAGGTAGCTAGAGAGTTTCCTCAAATCCCAGCTAAGTTTGAATGCACACAAGTTATTACGGATTTTACGAAGGTTTATGGAGAAGATATAAAAGAGCCCAATTTGAAATGCAAGAAGATTTTTGGAACACGATGTACCATCGACAGAAAAATATGCAAGGTGATATTAAATCATGAAAGTAGTTAGAACTTGGTGTCCAAAGCATCGGTGAAAGCTTTAAATTTGAAGACCGAAAAATATTCATGAAGGTATGTAAAATTTCAATCTCTTGGAAAGTACTAGAAAGATGAGATTATATGTAACATGGTAGAGATGGATGATTGTCATGTACTTTGGGGACAATCGTGGTATTGCAATGTAGATGCCACTTACATAAGTTGAGATAACGGGTATATGTTTTGGTGGTATGATAAGAAGAATGTTTTGATGTCATGTGACAAGCAATTTGTGAGTACTAGTGTAAACAAAGAAAAAAAGGTCCATAAAGTATATGATGTTCAAAAAAATTTAATCAAAATAATCAAGATGTTATCGCCATGATACTAAAATAGAAAAAGAAAAGCATGTGCAAGTTGAAAATTCGAGACCTGCTAATTCCTTGAATGTGGAAATTGCAATAGAAAACTCCAAGATCGAGCTCCAGTCCGATGATGAACAAGTTGAAGTTCAGAAGTGTCCAACAAGAGATGAGAGAATTAAAATTTTCAATCACAAAGGAATTAAAGGTGAGGCATGTAAAATTGATTATAAAAATTTTGTTGACATTTTCTACAATTTCAGTGCCAATGAATTGCATAAGAATAAGGAAAATATTGACAAATGAGGATTTGAGTCTTTATACCAATTCTTTTGTATTGAAGAGAACATCATTAGACATTATAGCAGAAGATGAAAAGTGTGAAGAATTGAAAATAGCATTAATAATCTTTATCAAGAATGGACTCGAGGATAAGAAATCAAACCATGCTTCGTTTATGAAGAAATATTGTGTGGAATTATCCATGAAGAAAATAGAATGAGCATGATAGAAGCAAAATTAACTTCAAACAATGAAACTAAAGAATATAATGTTTATTGAGCACATCAAGAAATTGAAATTTCTTCGATATTAGTATTGATAGAAATTTTTGAATATTTTCCTCCGATTGATTGATTTTTTTCTTCAATCAAACTCAAGGACGAGTTTTTTTCAAATGGAGGGGATTGATATAGTACATTACAACTACAATTAATAGTTTCCTACTACAATTATGTTTTTATCTCTTCTAGGAGTTTATCTTTTCAATTATGTTTATCTATTTAGTTTTCTTGTATAATGGTGATAGAACTTTTATATTTTATTTGATTAGGATTATAATTTCCATTAGTTTCAATTTCCTAATAGTATTAAAAGTAGGGAATAATTTTTATAGGAGCATCGTACACTTTTCAGAACAATCAATCATTATTCCATTAATAACAAAGCAAGTTATGCCAATATTCTTTTTAGTTTATTACATAATTCTTATTACAAGTATTTTATAACGCTTCTGCACCAAAATTGGCTTGTGAATTCCATAAAACCATCCATAGGAAATATTTATCTTTTCCTACCAGCAGCAAATGATGTCTGGGACACAGCGAAGATGTGTTTTGATATCGAAGTTTTTTCACCAATCTTCAAAATCAAGACCTAGCTATGACAGACAGCAGGGAGAGTGAAGTCACAAAATACTACATGGAGATGACTCTCCTTCGGCAAAAGATCAACCTGTGTCCCACGGACGAGTGGGAATGCTTCAGTGGAAGTGTTCGACATAAGAAGAGGCTGGAAAATGAAGAGTATAGGAATCTTTGGTTGGATTTCATATCGACTTGGATGATGTTAGAGGAATAATATTAAGTTGGTGACCACCACCTTCAACTTGGGAGGTTTCTTGGAGTGAGAAGAGGAGAAAATCAATGCAAAGTGATGTTGAAAGAGAACGTTGCTTCTATTGTAGGACCTACTGGAATCGAAATGTTGGGTCTGTTATCTAACTTTATCACACTTCCACAATTCTATTAGGTCGGCTAAGTGTCGGGTTTAATGACAAAAGTTTTTGGTTCTGTTGGGCTTGCTGAGAGGTTAGCCATATATCAAAAGGAGCTTCTAATAGGTTAGGCCCAAAAAAGCAAAAAAGGATGATCTTGGTCTGAACATTATCGTAAATCGGGACACAAAGAAGACACTTATTAAGAGATAGACTGGAAATGAGCTGATTGGAAACTAAGACAAAATATTAGAAGCTATGGCTATCAAGTATTTGGTGATTTAAGCGGAAAATCCAGGGAAATAAAAGATACTACTCTAGCTGTGCATTCAATTCTGAACAATTGGAGCAACTAGTAAATCTTCTCCAGTCTTCAAACATCTAGTTAACCCTCAAGTTTAATAAAACTCCTTGGATTATTAACTCTGGTGCATCCGATCACATAGTGAATTTTTATTATCTTTTCTCCCATTCTCAATCTGTGTTGTCAACATTAAAGTCAAAATCACAAATTGCTTATTCTTATGTGTTGCAGGAAAAGTGAACAATCAAATCTCCGACTTTATAGCTGTTGCACCCTCATTCATATAGATAATTATCCATTAATCTATGTAGGAATGAAATTGATGACTCGACCTAGACATAGAATTTCACACTTTTTTTTCACCTGATTAAAACGACATAAGTTATGTCTCTAAACAAAATCATATCGCCATAATCAAACATGTACATTCTGAGGTTATAAACATGTTTACATGCCATGTCAAAAGATATATAACATAGGATTCCCAACGTACAACACAATAGGCCATAAGCTCAAAATAGCACCCCGCAAAATAACCCTACAGGTTGTCATCCATGTACATCGAATTTTGGAATTCCGTAAGAGCTCCACAGCTAGCCGTGCTCTCTATGTAGTTCCAAGCTCACCTACAATACAAGAACTATTTAAGTCAATGCTTAGTAAGCAAAAATCATACATGTCATGAATATAAATAATAACGATATATGCCACTATGCTATTTACTTTAAACATAACGATAAAGAAGTATCATATTCCAATATTCATCAAAGTCGACTCAAAATCATTTCATTTGGAATTTTTCATTTTATTGGGCCCTTGACCCACCTACTATGCACCGAATAGAGCTCTGCATAATATCAATATCAGTAATTGAATGGCCAATATAAAATTGACACCATCGAGTGGACCATCCTCTCGTGACCATTAGAGGCCCATCCCCTAACTATCCCTATGATCACTTAAGAAGTCTCCCACTCGGCAACGCCAATAATCATGATATCACAAGGGCACAGTGAGTGGCCCACTCTCTCATGATGACCAAAGGTCCAACCCCTGTCTATCTTTGCAATCACCCAAGAAGTATCACTCGCGATGCCAAATATATCACATAAGCATGCCTCACATACTTTGGTGTCCTAGTAGTGATCAATAAAACATTTATGAGGAAAATTCACTTTGAAATCATGTTTCACATGCAAGATTTTCAACCATGGTCACATGTCATACATGCAGATGAAAATGCTCATGAATGACATATTTAATGAAAATCGATGTCAGTAGGTTCGCAACCATATACTCAATGACCATAACCATGATATGATATGCAATGAACCTCTTATCAAAGTTATCTAAATCTTCCAATATTATCACATCACAATTACTAGGTTCTTGTATCGTAGCTGCAAATGAATTTTTTACTTACCTTTCGCCTTTGTGTGTGCAAGTTCCTACGGAGTGTATATCAATTTCCTTTTTCACTCAACGTCGAAAAATTACCTGTATTACCATATAATATTAAAGACAATCCTCCATTTAATAACCTTAACACACACAATCCCAAAATACGTTCATTCACGCCAAAACAATTTAGACTAAATTCATTATTTCAAGTTACCGTTGGCATTACAAACTAATCGCACAAGTCTCGCTATTTTTTGAGTCCAATCATGAACGTCAACGTCATCCAATTGTCGTCAACAATCTAGTACTCATTAGAATTTATTTTCTAGGGCCAAGAGATAATTAATGGTTATGTAAAGGTTGAAATCACATTATCTAAAGCTGTGACAAATGGAGTGTTATAACCGTCCCTTTTTCACTACATCAAATCAGGCAGTTTTCTTTTCTTGTGACTATTTTCGGTTTTCATTTTATTAGCATGTCGCCAATCAGATCCCAGGCTATTAGAAGACGATTTATATTCTTCTCACTCTCATATAACAACATTCATTTACATAGATACAAATTACATCTTAAGTATTATCCAAAATCAAAGTTTAAACCATGCAAATCTGGCAACCGTATATCTGCATGTCCAAGTTGTCTTGTTTTAAGATTTTTGTAGTTAATTGCTCCCATTTTTGCCATCATAAAATCATCAACAATCCTCCTACTTAACCTCAAGCAAGTTTAGAGTTTTAACAGATTACAAATCACCCAAAAGAACTAAAGAAAAGTTTCAAAACTGTAACTCAAACTCACCTCCTCAAATTGCAATTGCAGCTTCTTGTTTTCTTCCCTTTTTGCTTCCTTTGCTTTCACGTCCACTTGGGGTCACTTGGGGTTATCTTTGCAGAGTCAAATCTCTTATTTAGGAGCTATTTAAGGACTTTTAAGGATTGGGGTCGTGAGTGATACTTAAAGGTGAAGGAATCTTTTATTACAAGACAAGTATTCCCCAAGCATGAGGTGTCCAAGCAGGATGTGGCTCCTTGCAGCCAAGTATGACTTTTCTCCTACCTTATATGGAGTCATTTGTGACTTAGGAGATGCATATCTATCCCATATAAAGTTCTAAGGATTTAGAAGACGTGTTGGATGTCTTAAGGTTGAAGCAACTATATATTAAAGTGATAGGTCTTCTAGCATGAGCTGTCTAAGTAGGAGGTGGCTTCTTGCAGCCAGCTTTGACTTCTCCCTTGCACCATATGGAGCCATATGTGACTTAGAAGAGTTATATCTATCTTGTGTAAAGTGCTAAGGACTTATAAGACGTGTTGGAGGCTTAAGGTTGAAGGAATTAGAGGTTAAAGTTACAAGTCGTCACGTGTTAAGTAGGTGTTGTCTCCTTCGATTAAATTCTGATTTCCGACTTATCTTTGGGGGATTTTTATGAAATTTAGGGATAATATACCACATATAAGAAGTCTTAAAGGAATGATAGACGTGAATAATGCTTAAGAGTGAATGAATTGACCATTACAAAGACAAATGAATAGACATGACGTGTACTACGTCTCAAGGTGTTCCTTGTAGCAAAATCCGATTTTACATCTATCCTTGCAGGTATAAATCAAGTATACTTGGCTTTTAATGTCTTAAAAATCCATTTTACTTGTCCTAATATCCCAAAACATATTATAGAGCCAATTCCTTAACTGTTAATTTGATTACTTATCCGATTGACACCCGATTCTCGACCGATTTCAACAATTTGCACCTCCATATTTATAACATCATATAAAACATATATTATTACGTCGTGATCATGTCATTTCATACCTTATGTCCCAAATATGGCAATTACCTATCTAGGGTTTAAAGTGACCTCGATCAGCCGAATGGAAAGCTTAAACCTTCGTCGATACTAATTTTCGACCTTTTTCGATATTACATTACTTATCAAGCCAATCTCCAACATTTAGTTAACCAATTTTCTATCATAGCTCAATACAAAATTCACCACCTAGGTCGAGACATTGAAGGTTATCACCATGTAAAGATTATAAAGCCTTAACGATCGAATATACCGTTTTAAGAGAAAGCAATTAGAAAATTGATGCAAATGACAATGTAATTAGCACGAAATGCATGAGTCATATTGGTCATATGTATAACGTAAAGCTTGGGGTATTACAATAACACTAGAATATATTCTTCGAGTTACCAAATTTATCTTGCAATTTATTGTCTATTAGCTAGTTAACAAAAAGCTCCAATTGCTCTACTAAATTCTTTTTATCTTATTGTGTTTATCAAGACCTATCATCGAGAAGACAATTGGCAGTGCTAAAGAGGGTGAGAAACTTTATTACTTTGGAGAAGACGATGTGAGCAAGCAACGTCAAATTGCAATTTGCGATTTTATATGCTTTAGGGATAGTGAAATTCTGTTGTGATATTATAGGATGGGACATCCTAATTTTCAGTACTTAAGTTGTGTATTTTCCTTCATATTTTATTGATTTTCAATGTAAAATTTGTGAACTTACAAAACACCACGTACTTCTTTTTCAAAATCTGCATACGCACCTCCATAGTGATTTATTAGGCCCATCACAAATAGTTAATTGTATTTATACAATGGTTCATTATGTTTATTGACGATTATATTCGAGACTGCTGGGTTTATCTTTTAATGAAAAAATTGATGCCCGTTTCATATTCAAGAATTTACATTTGGTGATTCAAGCATAATTTTAGACGCAAATTCTAATTCTGTATTCAGATAATGTTACAGAATATTACAATGGTACTTTACGAGATTTCCTACAAAATATGAGATCCACCAAAACTCATGCCCTGATACTCAACAAAATGGAATTGTCAAATACAAAAATAGACACCTTCAAGTAGTTTGCACATTAATGTTCACCACGAATATGCCAGAATATTCTAAGGAGATCATTTTAACATTGACATTCTTAATCTATAAAGTGCCTAGTCACACTCTCTTTCAAAACACCCATCCAAAGATTTTAGGAATTTTTTCCTCCTTCGTCCTCAGCTTTAGTCTACTTCTCAAATTGTTTGGCTGTACCACCCTTATGTATGTTCATTCCCATCAACGAAGCAAATTAGACCTTGTGGAATTAAGTGTGTTCTCATTAGATAATCACCTATTCAAAAGGATTACAAATGCTATAGCCTGAACATAAAAGGGTATTTGTTAGTCTCTAGACACCTTATTTTTAGAAAAAATTTCTTTAAGGAAAGAATTCGAATGAAGACCAGTTCTTGGATTTTGACCCACCTTCTGAACTTATGTTTAGTTGCAAGCATGGGAAGAAAATTAAATTGCCTAGACTTGCATGGAAAATAATATGTTTGATCAATTTAGTTTTCAACTTAAAATATATTATATTTGTCCATTTTTTTATTGATGGTAGATGAGTGAGAGTGGATAGACGAGAGAGAGTAGATTAACTGAAAATAAATATCACCCCTCCCTGAAGAAAATGTTTTTCTTATTTTTGTGGAAAATATGGTCATATGACCAAAAGTTGAAAAATATTTTTCATGAAAAAATTATATAACACCTCAAGGGTAGGAATTTGAGTGAAAAATAACATTTTTCATGCAAAATAAAGTAAATCGAACACTCTTACTTCAAACATTGAATCTATCTCACCATCTTCTCATAATATGTCGTGTACAGAAGAAAACTTGAACTTAGGGGGAGATGTACAAAACAAAATTACAAAGGAGATGTACACTCTAGGAGGCCAAAATCAAAGTATAGAGACTTTCGCACCTGAAGCACCAAGAGAGTCGAAACCAATGATAGCTCCAGACCTTTGTGAGATCACTACTGATAAGTTTGAATCTCTCGATATGAATTTTCCTCTCTCAAAAACAAACTCGATCATGTATTTTTCACTCTAACTCAAAATTCATATAATATAATGCTTTAGCTACAGGGTTTTGTGCTTTTATATCCAATCTAGATAGTATAGAAATCCCTAGTAATATTCAAGAAGCTGTGGATATTCCAAAATTGAAAGAAGATAATGGAAGAAATGAGAACATCAAATAAATATGAAACGTGGGATGTGGTAGATCTACCAAGAGAAAAATAGCTTGTGGTTTGCAAATAGGTTTTCAATGTGAAATTTAAAGCAAATGGAACAATCGAATGGGATGCTCGCCTTGTTACAAAAGGATATACACAAACATATAGTATTAA